CCACTTAAGAATTAAACATGTAAATACACATTTAAACAGGTTTCATTTTGAGCTCTTCACGCTCCAGTTTAAGTCCAGATACATCTGGACAGCAGTGCCAAACGGATATCCCCCATGATGCACCACTGGGGGACGGACTTCCTCCTCTGGGGGCCGTTGTGGTTGGTTGGTTGGGCTTTTTCCCACTCAGAAAACAGGCCAGCTCCATAAATGCTCGGAGTCAGCATAATTTCTATGTCTTTATCTCTATTCTCTGATCTGTTTCCCATCAGACCAGCTCAAGATCACCAACTTGAGGGTGAACTTCACCAAGCTTCACACGCTGGGGGACACCCTGCTGGACCCCCGCGCTGAGATCAAGGAGAAGTACTACTACGCCATCTACGAGCTGGTGGTGCGCGGGAACTGCTTCTGCTACGGCCACGCCTCCGAGTGCGCCCCCATCCAGGGCATCCGGGAGGACCGGGAGGGAATGGTGAGGGACTCAATTCAATTCAATTAAATTTTATTTATATAGCGCCACATCACAACAACAGTTGTCTCACAGCGCTTTCCAAACAGAGCAGGTCAGACCCTACTCTGAAGTTAATTACAGAAACCCAACAATTCCCACCATGAGCAAGCACTAGGCGACACAGGCAAGGAAAAACTTCCTTTTAACTCATTGACTGCCAGCCATTTTCAGAACAGAGAGTCCCATACTGCCAGAGTTTTTTGAGCATTTTGACTGATTTTTCAAGAGCCACAGAATAGTTTGTGCTTTGACTATGTAAACACCGAACACACCAAAAGAAAGAGTAGACTCTCTTCTTTCAACAGGAAAAAGTTTTTGTTTCTACCTTATTCCGTTCTTCCTCGACTTGCGTCTCACCGGCGCCATTTTTCGCATAGCGAACCATTGCGTTTTTCTTATTTGCCTACAGTCTATGCTCATCTCCCATAAAAACTGGCACTGCATCCTAGAGGGTCAATTTGTTACTACATACTCTGTCTAGAAGCCGATATTTACGGACAAGCTTTAGCAGATCGTCCCCCAAGCCACTCTCGTTGAAAAACATAAAAGATGTCTATAGACGTCTTTGGCAGTCAATGAGTTAACAGGCAGAAACCTCGAGCAGAACCACGGCTCACGATTCCCGCCCAGAGCACGGAAAGCAAACGCACCACTTCCTGATTCTCCCCTCTCCTCTCCTCTCCCCCCTCGCTCTTCCTCAGGTCCACGGCAGGTGTGTGTGTAACCACAACACGAAGGGTTTGAACTGCGAGCAGTGTGAGGACTTCTACAACGACCGGCCCTGGAGGCCGGCCGAGGGCCGCAACACAAACGCCTGCCAGAGTCCGTCCGGTTTTCCACACTTACAGCGCCCTCTGCAATTATTGGCACCCCTGTTTAAGATGTGGTTGAGGACTTATAGAAATTCTCAGTTTAAAAGAAAAAAATAGAATCCAAATGCGAAAAAAAAGAGAAAAATCCAACCTTTTATTTAAGTCCATTACTTTGGTGGTTACAATAAAATCACACATTTAGAAAATAAAAAACCTGAAATCATGTGTCCCACAATTTTTGGCCCCCCTGATGTTATTACTTTGTACAACCCCGTTTTTTATTTTCTAAATGTGTGATTTTATTTTTACCACCAAAGTAATGAACTTGAATAAAAGGTTGTATTTTTCTCTTTTTTTGCATTTGGGTTCTTTTTTGTTTTTAAAAAATGTTGAATTTTTAGAAGTCCTCTACCCCATCTTAAACAGGGGTGCCAATAATTGTGGAGTTCCCTGTATCTAGACAGGTGCTCTGTGTGTGTTTGCTGACGGGGAATGACCTTTCCGTGCAGAGTGTAACTGTAATGGCCACTCCAACCGGTGCCACTTCGACATGGCGGTGTTCCTGGCCACGGGGAACGCCAGCGGGGGGGTGTGCGACGACTGCCAGCACAACACGATGGGACGCAACTGTGAGACGTGCAAACCCTTCTACTACAGAGACCCCAGCAGGGACGTGACAGACCCAAGAGTCTGCATGGGTGAGCACGGACCATAAACCTCCAACCATCTAAGATACAGACCGATGTTATAAGAGGTTTGATTAGCTCAAGACAGACCAGAATGAGGAAAAAACGACTTATTGTTTTCATTTGACAGGTTTGCCAAGGTTTACCTTAACCCTTTAAAGCCTGATCGAAGAATTAAACAAAACAGAAAATTACTTTTTTGAAGTCTTTATTTGGCCTTTTAAAGAAATATGTAAAAAGAAAAAACAAA